GGGTGTACAACGTTGCAGCCGACATCGCAGAGGGAGAAGTGACCAGCGAGCTGCTCGCCATCCGATTCGCGAACAGCGAGAATGCCAACAACTTCAAGAAATCTTTCGAGGAAGCTCAGGAGAAGAATTCGAGCGCCAAGGGAGGTGCGATCAAAGAGCAGGACGCCCCTCCTGCTACTGGTGGCACTACTGAGACGACTGAGACAGAGAAGAAGGAAGAGGAAAAGAAGGAGATTGCAGAGTCAACGGAGACCAAGACTGAGGAGAAGAAGGAGTAGACACTTCCCGTCTTTGCCCCCCTTTTGGTCCTCTTCGACTTTGTCATCGCTTTGGAAATGTCTTTCGCTGCTTCTCTGAGCCAGCAGTGATCCTTTCCCTACCTGTTCTAGCGCAGGCTAGCATCACCTGCTCATCTCTTGTCCCACACACACAGGTATTTCACATTCGCTCCAGGTCACTCTATAAAAGAATCAAGGGACTGCTAGCATGCATGCGTGTGCGTGTGTGTGTCTCATCTCAGGAGCACTTCACAAGCAGTGTATGCATTGCATGTTCATGTGTCGACTCTAGCAAAGCTCTTGTACACGGCATCTCTGACCCTGTAAAAGCCTACGCCGACATTTCCCTCCACGAGAACATTGCCCTTGCTCTCCTTCCTGACCGACACGCTGGGTTCCGGATTCTCCCCGCCATCAGCGCTGGAAGAGGCGGTTCCGCTAGCAGAGCTTTTGAGGCCTAATTGCCAAGCGCCAATGCCGCAGATGAGCGAACCTTGGCCCGCAAATTCTGACGATGTCCTGAAGGGCGGTGTGGAAAGGAGTGCACGAAGAGAGGCCAGATGAAGGTCGCCGATGAAGAGAGTAGAGGAGACGGCTTTGGTAGGCCGCTTGAGCAAGGTCTGAATGGATCCTGACGTTGCCCCTGTTGATTCGTCATTCGTGTTCATTTCGCTCTCCTTGTCACCGTCAGCTTCGTAGGAAAGTAGTTCCAAGCTAGGAACATTGCTCTCCATCCCGAACCTCAACTTGGCCTCCAAAACATTGGCCACTTCGTAATCTTCAAACTTGGAGAACTTGAGCTTGGTCATGAGGCCTTCTCCGAGGTTGAGAGTGTACGCTGTTGTGAGCTCTCCAATGCTGATGAATTGACCCAAAGAAGGAGCGAAAATTTCCTTGGTCATGCCTTCTATGGCAGAGAAGGATTTGACAGCATCCATCTTCGAAGCTTCGTCCCCGCCGACCAGAACCAATCTTCTAGGCAACAATTGCGGCAACAAGGTCTTCAGGGCTCTCCCATCTGCCAAGCCCGACATCTCCACAAATGCGAATCGGCAAGTGGGCTGAAAGCTGATGGTGCGACCAACGATTTTGGCAGGTGGTCTTTCCGCTTCCTCTTTGGCCTTCTTTTCAGCTTCCAATCTCTTTGCCTTGATTGCGGGGTCCTCGTACCTCTCGCCCCTGGCAGTGGCAGCACCAGCGGGTCCGTTGGCCGAATTCGGATCGCCAGCCAATTCTTCCATCTCTCTGCCCCTTTCCAACCATCGACTGATATCAATCGTCTCTCCATACGCGTCCACCCTCCTCTTGCGCTCCACAACAGGGAACAGCCTATACCTTACACCCACTCCATACTTTTCCCCTTTTCTTCCACCAGCGCCAGCAGCAGCAGCAACCGGATTGGCACCGAAGAAATTGGTCGCACGAGCAGACGAGCCTCTCAAGTAGATGTCATAAGACAGCCCGCTCGTCCCTCCTTCTGCACCCTCGTCCGCTTCCTTGGCATATCCACCAGCTCGTCCATCCTGTAAGCCCAATCCCATTCGCACATCCCTTTCGGAACTCAAGGCCGTCCTCCTCCGTTTCCTCGATCCACCGGGCTCTCCATATCCATCTGAAGGAGCTTCACCAGTCGCTCCGGCTCCCATGCCCAAACCATCTATGTCTCCCTGTCCATCCACCGAAGAAGCATCCGAATCGACATCCGAATCGGATTCCTGAGCTTCCTCTTCATCAGCCTCTAGTCGTCGCTTGGTTCGAGCACGAAGAGCTTTCTGGGCAGCTTCTCTGTCTTTGGCCGCTTGTTCAGCTTCCAAATATTCTGTGAGCTCCGTCCCCGTCAACAACGCCCTCTCACAAAGCTGGCAGCGAGGCGAAGAACGGCGCGACGAGTCAGTATTGAGAAGAGTTGGAATACTTACGCGAGCAATCTTACCTTGATCTCGCACGTCTGATCCTGCTGCAGCCTGATCTCTTTGCCAACAGCGCTTCTGCCCCACTTGGCTCCTTCTTCCTGTCCCCATTCCCATCTATCATACAACCACCTTCCTAGACTTCCTGGCTCACCACGCTGGGTCAGAATGACAATGTCCTCCACATTCTTCTCGAACCGCGCCAGTAAGGCTCGGGATGGACCGTGCGTCAGACTAAGAGGCACCGATAAGATCACTTTGGCCACCGAGGCAGGAATTGCCGTGTCCATCGCTTCGAGAGAAGAGAAGACTCGTAGGTATCTATGGCGAGCGGAGAGTGAGCTCCAAATGTCGGATTCCCGCACGCGCACGCACACTCACTTGAACTCCAAAGGCTGACTCATCGAGTCCTTTCCCTTTTTCTTATTTCCCGAATCCGTCTCTTCATTCGGCTTCGCAGCCCAGGTCTTGGTCGTCCATTCCATCAGAGCTCTGGCCCTCTCCAGCACCTCTTTGCCATTCTGGCTGATTAAACAGAGTGGGAACTTGACGTTCGGATAGGCGTAGGCCCAGTGAGCATCTAGAAGCACCAAAAGCTCTAACAGACGTGCAGATGCGTCGACAGGCATGAGGACATTGTGCCCTGATCTGATCGTGTTGTGTACCAAATCTGATTCGAAAAGTGGGCAGGGGTGCAAATCCTTTGGCGCGTCAACGAGAGCCTTGTCAGCCTGACACATAGCACTTACCCAGCAAAGCGGCATCTTTATCTTTTCTCCTCGGATTGACGATCATCGCACGTTCGCAATCTGCTAACAGCACATCGGCTCTTCTGACCGCCTCCATCGCGCCCGCATTGGTTCCACCCGCTCCGATAAGCGCGGTTCCATCCAAGTGTCTTTCCCTCATGTGATTCCAGTCTAAACAGATCATCACCGTTCCGACGACGGGCGATCTGAGTTTCCATAGCGTGCCTCCTAGAGAATGACCGGCCGAATAGGCAGTCAGAGTAATGCCTGCTAATTTTCCATCGAGGGACGTGGGCTGCAAGTATCGAACGGTTCGGATGTGATCGAAGGATTCTTCGATGGAGCTGGGAGAGGTCAGACACCTGCGAATGCGAGCATGTTCGGAGGTCGTGCACTCGTCACGACCAATCTTCTCGGTGGGCGATCCCAGCTCGCTGTACCAGCCCGCAACAGCTTCCAAAACCGTCAAGCGTCCCATACTCGATACTGGCAGGGTCGCGAATGCGGGACACTTGAGGCCTAGCTGTGCCCAGGCGTACGAGTACAAGCCCAGATGGGAAAGTGTCGAGTGGCACAATAGCACAAGATCGATCGTCGGTGCCAGACTGATTCGCGCATTTTCCCCGTGCGATTGTCAGCGCTGCCTGGCAAGCACGGCTTTGTACCCTGTAGCGGGTAATGATGACTCACTCTGCCAACAGCGTGTCGAAATTTTCGGTGCAAGCACGGCGAGCCAGACTTTCACCTCTAAGCCTTTCTGGCAGATCCGACTGCATCTCATCCTCTCCTTGCGCCCTCTCTTCTGTGACATGTGCTCCTCTCTTCGCAGCCTCCTCATCTCCTTCATTATCTGCGTCTTTGCGCTGAAAGCTAAAATTTTCGGGCGCTCCACAGCCGATGAGTATCCTAACGTTGTCGATGTCCAACAGGTAAGCTAGAGCTTTGGGACGCTCGGTAGAAGCCGCGCTGTTGGATGTGCCGTTTGGAATGAGGGAGAAGCCGGGCTCTGAAGAGGTCGAGGTGGACGCGAAGGGTTGGGAAGAAGCCCAGGGAACGCTGAGGGGTGTGATGGTGATCATCTTGCGCAATGCGTCCTTGACAGACTTGACTTGTCAGTCCGGCGCGCGAAGTGCTAGCTGAGAGGAAGCTCTCAAAGAGCACGAACAGTGCTGTGCTTCTTCAGTGGTACTTGATTCGTCGTCGACCGCAATTTGAAATCACGAATAGTACCTTGAATTGTGTGCTTGGGGCTGGGGTGCCGCTCGCTGCCTGCTGTCTTGTGTCGTACCCGTCCCTGACTCGGCAAGGGCTTTGTAACGCGCACGCAGCGAGAGCTACACAGCAAGAAAGTATTGGCACGCGACGTCTGCAGCAAGTGCGTAGGCTGTGATGGTGAGGAGGAAGGTGCGCCCGATGGCCGAGCTAGCGATCGAGCGACAAGTTCCGCACCGTCCAGCAACTGCCCGCGTGCAGGTTGCGGCCTTCACCGCATGTACGCATATAC